AATACTACAATACCTCTTTGTTATTTTATGAGGTGGCCAGGAAGGATTTAGTACCTCTTCTGCTTGGAAGAATAAAGTTGTGAAAGCTTTATGTGGTGCTCTAACTCAGTGCTTTGACTTACCATCAGACTGTTCAATAATCTGCCAAAAGTCTTATTTCAATAAAGCAGTCGACTTTGGGGAGGAAGGAGAAGCTTGACTTTATTTTTCTTATGCTTCATATTGAGGCTAACAATTTTAACATATACTTGAGACTTTCTAGGTGGGTTCAATAGTTTTATTAACTTAGTGGTCATTGGGACTGCAGAACCAGAGTGTTCTTCAGGGTGTATATCAAAGTTACAAAATAAAGATAATATTATGTTTTTTGGTATAAGGCTGTGTAGTTTAGCATTAAACTGAGAACTCTTTACTTCTACTGCATAAGATTTAGCTGTAGAGGTATCCATAGGACAAAATATTTGAGGGTATTTCAGTGACAGAAGTGTGAGGAGTAACTGCTCACCTGACATGTCAATTCCTGAAGTGGTTGCTGATGTAATATTGTCTTTGTGTTCACTTTGAAGGGGTTTGTTTTGGTTTTTTTTTGGCAGGGTACTTGTTTACTGGATAGCCATTACAGTAATTCATGCTTGATGTTTTAATCCTGCTTCTATGGAAAGTCAGCCAATTCCTACACTTCTATTGTAAGGCTTCAAACAAAGCTGCATATAAAGCGTGGGATTTAAAGCAATGCTGTGTTACAAATTATGAATGTAACAATAGGAAAAGACTGTTGTAACTGTGTTTCAGGTGATGTTTACGATTACCAGTGTTTCACACTGAAATAATGATGGGGAGGGCAAAAATGTTGGTGTAAAAGCATTTGGTAATAGACTAGTACTTTGTTTCAATCTAGGTAGTAGATGTTCTTGGGCTAGTTCTAAGACTGAAAATCTTTTCAGCGAGTCTGAAGGCAACAATTTCAGTTTCAGGAAGCATTGATATATTAACAGAGGCTAGATTAGAATATGGGACTGAAAACCCTGCTTTTTCATAAAAATTCCAGGAGCCAGGAGCACACCATGAGCAGCCCCCCTTCTGCTGCCTGCAATTGTCAGATTTGTGTTGCTGTAGTAAATGACTTCACATGGTACTTCCTTCAGTCACTTCAGATGCTCTGTTCAGAAGTTCTGTGAATCCTCTTGTTGCTCTCTTTAAGTTTATTTTGTCCCAAAGGTAATGGTTGTACTTTTCAAGTCATAGTTGGGTAATCCTCACCAGTGACAACATTAATGATGAGAAATTGCAAAATCTCAAGAGACACTGCAGTCTCTTGAGACTTGAAAAGTATAAAGGCAGAAGTCAATATTTTGTTGTGACTTACAGCTCTAAGAGGTTGACTGTTCCCATGTCCAGAATGTTGAGATTCTCACGAAATGCATTCAGAGTCTGTCATATAAGTATATATATGCATAGCTGAACATGACAACTTTCAGTGTTGAAGAGATCACAAAATGTAGTCTTAGTCAAGTGTTTATCTCTGGTTTTAAGACTTGTATGCTATTATTAAACAACATAAATATTAGCAATTGGTTGAACAAAAAAAAAAATTCCTGTAATTTTCGCTCTGTAATTCTGGGGTGTCACTTTGGAAGATAAAAGAAAACATTGTTTAACAAGCCTTAGTAATGTAGAAACAAAAGCTGAAATACCGTGAAAGCAAAACCTGAGTTCCCTAAATCTGGGCATGAGCATGCACTTTCCTTTAAAGGAGCAACTCAGTCCTTTCCTTCAAAGGAGCAACAGGCTACAGTTGCTGCTTTACAAGGCCTTTCTGCTGTTTTACAAGGCCTTCTGTGACAAGTAATGTTGTTCTGAGTCCAGATGTGTTTCATCTCCTGAGATGAGTGGAATTGTTTGTTGCAAAAGTAATTGATCCATTTCAGGAGTTAGTGAGGTTTTTTTGTGAGATTTGAGCAAACTACAGTTCCTGACTGGATAATCTTAGGAGGTGGTTAAAAGTAATAAATTCTTACTAGATTATAATTTTAAATCAATTACAGAAAACGCTAGTTGTTGCAAAAATCTTTGTCTGCAATGTGATGCAGCAATTATATCTGAATTAACTGAGTCTATTAAAAGCAGCATGCTTCTGTACAAATACAAGAAGCATTCTTACTCAATTTACATGAGGCTGTGTTGCTTGTTCCAAGTCTGTCCTGTATAAAAAGTCATTATTATAAAAGTGTTATACATCCTTGCTCAACAATTCTTCTAATATGTTCCCTTTCTTTCCTACCCTTCCTCTTCCCCAAAAAATAATTTATTGAGCATGTAATCTTGCTCACCACTCTACAAAGTGAGCAAAAAAGTAGTCTTTTTTCCACAATGATACTTATGATCATTTCATATATTAAATGCCATGGTCTCTTTGTGTCATGCTTTGCTTAAGCTCTGAATTTACTGAAAGGCAAAAATTGAAGCTGTGGGTGTTCTTTGTGCTTTTATGACAAGAATCAGGAGTTTACAATGTCTGTATTACTGATTTTTTCACAAAGATACAGAATCACATAATTGCTTTCTGAAAGTCAATTTTCATCCATCCCACATTCAAATCCTGAATTTGTTAGATGCTGATTTCTTCTGAAGGAGATGAATGGGTTTGATTCCTAGGAAGGGATCATGTTGAGGAAGAGGAGTGGGCCACTGGCATGTGTTGCGCCTCTTAAGTGATGTGAAGTGAATCGTAGCCTTTTCCTTTTCTGCACGGAGATTTTCAGTCCTTCTTTGTGGCCTGTTGTTCTCTGGTAATAAAGGTTTCATTTCCTTCTTCTGCAGCTTTCAAGGGTTTGTGACTGACTTCTGTTTAAAAATGAAGCTTGCCACTCCTTTTACTTTCTGCTGAGTATGGGAAATACCACATCCAACTAAACATGTTCTTAAAGCTGTGCCAATGTATTTGTGGTAAGAGTGGGGAGGAAAAGAATAATTTTGTTTAGATAATATATTTCAAAACCACCTGTTCTCTATTACCTGTATCAAGCTCATTGCTTCAGTTAGCTCTTCTCTGAAGTTAGAGCAGCTACCTAGAGTAAAACAGATCCTGCTTCAGCTACAGTGGAACAAGGTGGAAGCAATACATGTGACAGGCAGCAATTTTGAAACAGCTTATGTATGGCAGAGAAACAGGGATTTGCAGATAACACTCCAAATATGCTTCTTATGTATTTTTCCCCTTAACCAATTAAATATATATATATACACAAAACATATATCTATATGTATATTACTCTACTTCTGGTATCATACAATATTTTAAAGAATGACTTAAATTTCAAAGCTATAGTAGTTGTTTTATTTTTTCCCCAAGGAGAACCCTTCAAAAATAGAGTAATTTGAATTTACCAGATGATATAGGTAAAATTCTGAGGGTATTTATGACTTGCTCTGGGTTTCTGTATTTAAGCTTTATATACATCTTTGTGATTGCAGCTATTTAAAATGTAAGTTGATCAACTGAGTTTGTATATATAAATAATACACTTAGAGTTGGAAATCTGACAAAATACTTTTCCTCAAGGACACAAATGAAATTGATTATCAGAGCAGCAGTAGTTAGTAATGCACTTCTGAGGATTATACCCATGAGCAAATTTTGAAGGAATAATGGAGGTGGATGGGCAAAAATAGTTATGAGTGTATTTGCTACAGTGCTTCCTGGAGGCATTTTCAAATCTTTCTCCCTTTAAAGATTATCATCAGTCTTTATAATAAAAACTCACTGGGAGATTACCCTTAGTAGTAGTCATAGTACTGTAATACAGGTAATGCTGTTTACTTAACTAGCAATTAGACATTTTAATATTCTACTTTGAACGAATTAAGGGTTAAAAAATATCAAAATTTTGCAACAAATCACAGAGTCCTGACACTGCTAACAGACTTACTTTTCTTTAAGCACCAAGGTGTTACTCCATAGTGATGGTTTAGTGTTTATATTTCCTCTTGCAAAATGTAGGAAGTGTAATAAGGCTGATGAGTTTGTTTTGCTGGGGTTCTCTCTGGTTTTTATACACTTCAGAAGGCTCTTTACCATTTGTGAAAAAACATTTCTAATTTACCTCAGGAGTGTCTTACTGAAAACAAACAACAAAAAAAAAACTATACAGGTAGCATTAATTAAATGCTCAACTGCAGCTTTTAGCTGTGCTTCTGCTCAAAATAGCTCATAATTTAGGGGTCAAAGTTGACTATCTTGTTTATATTGTACCCCTAATGTTACCATCAATTCCAGAAACTTACTTGGAGAAAACATAGCAAAATATGTCAAAAACTCTAAGCTGTTACAAAGGTTTGTGCTAGAGGTTTAGGGCGTTTAAATTCCTACTGGTGTAAGTAGGTTATGGTCCAAATAATTACTTTTATGAAGCTGTAATTTTTTCCAAATTGCTGCAGTGTCAGGGACTGACTTGCAAAGTCTTGCTGATTGTCTCTGTAAAGACGTTGCCTATGGAGCCCCTTTTTGCAAGGACCAAATGGGTTTATCCATGCTGACATGCAGTACTGCAAACTTTTCAATGGCCTGAGATTGTCTGTCTATTAAAACTGGCTGTGAGAGATGTGGCAGGCCTATCCAGCTCTCCCTAGGAGGGTTGTGTCTGATATAAATAAGATGGAAAGAAAAGTGCTGGGCTGCTCAGAGTGTGAAGTTCTCCTGTTGTGTAGTAATACTGGGATTTCTTGGCTGCCAGTCAGGAATTGTAGTTTTAGACTGAAAGTGCAAAATGTTCCTGTAAAGTAGAGAAAGCACTGACAAACGTGAAGTTTGTAATTTTAGACTGTGTAACAACCATGGAAAAATTGCATGGTTTGTATTTTTTTTTCCTATTCCAGTAGAGAGCAGTGAATCTTGTGTTAGTGTGTTTAAATTTATTTTTTTTTTTAGGTTTTTGCACTAGTTAATATAAGAGAGATGCTTGCTAATCTTTCTAAAAATTGTTCTCTGTTTCCATTGCCAGGTATTCTCTGTTTTATAACCACTTGAAGAACATTGAGGAAAGTGAAGGTGGCCTTGATAAATTTACGAAAAGTTACAAAACCTTCGGAGTTAACCAACTTGCAGATGGTGGAATATACTGCAAAGAGTGGGCACCAGGAGCAGAAGCTGTGTTTCTTGCAGGTGACTTCAGTAAGTATTGTTAGGAAAATTTCTTCTCCTCTGCACAATGTTTTACATCAACATGCTCTTCCTTTAAAGAAAATTTTGTCACAGTGGTGAAATTCTGATAGTAGAAAATGTGTCATGGCTTAAATGAATAATATTTTCCTCTGTGTTCCAGTAACTTATGAAGATGTGTTTCTGTTGCATGGTCAGTGTTATGCATTTTTTTAATACCCCAAAGGCAGTGACTCTTGTCACACTGGATCACACTGCAACTTGGGGCTGTATCTAAACTCCCTGAAGTTCTTTTTAAAGCTTTATAACTAGACTTTTTTAAAACTATATGCAGAGAAGCAAAAATGACAGTGAAACAATTTGCTTCATCTTGTTTTACTGATGAAGCAACAGTGTTGTCTAAGGACCAAGGTCCTTGACAATTCCCACCCATCCTGAGAGTTTAGACAAAAGTTCTGCTGGAAAATTGTAGCCTAAAATCAAACTAAATATTGCTGAAAGAGTAGCTATTCTGTGCTTGTGAGGGCAGAAGAAGGAAAGGTGTTAGCAGAATGGGAAGGTGGCAGTATTATATAGAAGAATTGCATTGCTTGCCCTGATAACCAGGAATTGAATTTGACACAAAAATATAAATTTGCTTCTTATTTGAAGGCTAGCTACACTCAAATTATGTTCTAAAACTTTTAGATGAAAGTGACATTCATCATGGCTCTTCAGTCCTACAATACTTGCTCTCCTTTTTGCTTAGGGTTTTGGAGGGCTTTGTTCTGTTTTTCCCTTTCACCTCTACTCTCTCTCTTCACTTAGGCCTGCCAAAGTACTAGGTCTTGCATTGCTGATTCTTACTGAATGGGGACTTTCTGTGAAATTATTTTGTTCATTGAGCTGCGTTTCAGAAGCATGCAGTTTTATTTATCTGACTTTGATTTTGCAAAAATACTCATCTAGGGAATGTTCAGTGTATTTATATTGCAAAGAAGCAATATGAAAAAAAGTTGTTTGAGGCAGTTAACTAATTCTGCTTAAACACAACGCTTAATGTTGGCCATTCCTTACCCCTGTCTGAGGAAGCTATTGAAAGGAAAATCTCTTTATTTTAGGGAAGGTATTTATTTAAAAAAAATCCTGTTTTTGATGCAGAAGTTGAACAGAAAAGTTAGCGCAACATTGTTTTCAGCAATGATCCTGTTTGATATGACTAACAGAGTAAATGATAAAGTAGCTTTTCTTAAAGTGCTGCTTGTCATTTTATTGGAATAGACATTGATAAATAGGTTGGTGTAGTTTTTGCATTTTAATATTGAAATTGGATGTGTCCTCTAAGAATGAATAATGAGTTCACCTACTAGATAGATAATAGTGATTTCAGGTATCAATATAGACTGTAAGGCAGCTAGATCAGGTTATTTTCATAGGTCAGTTTTATGTGTATAAACGTGCAGAAAATTCTCCTCCTTGTCTTTCTTCTACTTGCTGTAACCCCATCCATTGCTCAAGGTTTTCATGGGATGGTTGCAGGTTAAATGTCTCAACTCAGCTAAAGACTAGAGTGTGTTTGATTTAAATATGTATTTTAGGAGATGTTACTATTAAAACCAGATTTTTAATAATATAATTAATATTTGAGAAGAGGCTATAGCTTGTAAATTGTCTTATCAGGCTGGGGGGAAGTATATGTATACCAGGATGGGGTAGCTAAACACTGAAATAGTTTTCTAAACTCTATTTCATTTAAAATATTTTATGTAAGACATCATATGAAGCAGAAATTTAGAGTAATATCTTAGAGTAGATGTATCCAGACACTAATTAAATGAAGAAGTAAAAAATTAAAAGAAATTCATTGTAATGTGAGGAAACTGTTTCTACTATATATCAGTCAGTCATAGTAAAGTATTCAGTCCCAAAGGGGACAATAGTGTACTTGGAAAGACTGGAGGCATGGAAGATTGTCATTCAATTCTTATGATCTTAAATAATATTCTCACGAGAAATTGGATTTCAAAACCCTAAGATTTAGAGTCAGATTGCTACAGATATGTTTAATTAAAACTGAATCCCTTTAACCTTTCTTTAAGTTTTCAAGCAGGTTAAAGTCTCAGACTAAATTTATTATTATATTGTGTTTAAATTGGATATTGGGATTGCTTTTAATAAGATTTTTTGTAATAAAACTTTTTTATAAAAAGAACCATAGCATAACCACGTCAGGGAAGTTGGAAATCTTAGACAAAGGAATATTGAACTTAGATGACAGAAGCTCTGAAATATGGTGGTATATAATATAAAAAACTGTCAATTCATACTTTTTGTTTTGGAGATGAATAGCAGTGTTTTCCTTAATAATATGGTGCTTTCTGAGAATATCTTAATGTTTGATGTAAAGACACAAAGTATTAGTCTCTGCTGTTTCATCTTAAGTTTTTTGAAGAACAAAAACTAGTAAAAAATAAAATTGCAAGAACAGCTTGTGTACAGAGACCTTGAACTTCTTTTTTCCAAATTTATAATTTAAGCTTATAGTTGGTAATATCTTTGTTACAAATTATGTGCAAGATAAACATGAAAAATTTACTTTTGTAATTATATACATGTGCAGCCTTAGTCCTGTACATGTAAAGGTTTTTCTGAATGACTTTTATGCCTTATAACAATCAGAAAAAGCTTTGCTATTAAGGTATTTTGGTCCAAATTATGGAATTTTTATATCTTATTCTGATAAACTTGTAATGAATGGGATAGCTCTAATTTATAGAAAAATTCTTAATATCAGTGTGCATTTTGGGAAAAAAAAAGCTAGAAACTAGAAAAAGCACACAAATCTGTAAGTGGATTGGAGAATTAAAAATATGAATTCAGGAAAATCCCAATGCTTTCAGAGCTTTTTTGTCTCTTTAAAACTCCATAATTGGACAGAAAAAGTATTGTATCTGTTGGTGTTCTAGTACAAAGCTTTATATAAGAAGTATTAAATGAGCATCCAAAAACATTAAGATTTGTCAATTAGTACTTTCAGCATCTCAGTAAATCAAGTGTATGAGACAATTACTCAGCTGAATTTCCAACACTGGAGGCTCTGTCAACATTATAGCTCCTTCAAAAGCTCTCAGTGATAGCACTGAATATTTCATTTGTGTGCCCTATTGCTCAGGAACACAGTGACTACTGGCAATTTATTGCTGCTTTAAAATTGACTATTTTAAAATAAGTCACTGAACTGTGAGTTTTGAGAGCAACCCACGGAATTTATTTGGGAATTGGAACACTCACATTTGTATTTGGTCGTGCAGAGGCTCAGTGGGTTATCTGTAAACAATTCCTTAATATTAAAAAGAAAGCTACTGGTTTTAAAAAGCTTGAGAGTAAGTATGCAGGTATTAATTTGGAAGTCAGCATTTGCTGTAATACATTTTTATATTTGTGGTTTCTGTTCTTTTAGTTGTCCTCCCTTTCCTCCTTCCCAGCTCACATTGATCTAAAATGTTGATCAGACTAGAATATCTGGTTTGGTTTTTACTTCCTTTTCCTTGCACTAGTTGGGAAGGCTTCTGCTGTGGTTGGAGGATGGAGGGAGGGTAGGATTTTCTGGGAGGATATTTGTCTATTCTTTAAACTCTGACATGGTCCCTTCAGAGTGAAAAGAGAGTACCTTAAGGCACTGTACTTCATAATTTAGTTATCTGACAGCTGACTAAAAACTTAATGTATCAGAATGTTGTGGGATTTCTTTTTTTTTCAGATTTTTAATGAAATGGATTCTAGGTACTGTCATTATATCATGATGAATTTCTTACTGCTTCCTTTCAAGATTTTTTATAGAAAATTACCTACATTTGAGGACTAAAGTCAAACAGTGTTATGTTTCTGTGGGTGCAGATGATTGAAAAGAGTAGACGGTAATAGAAGGTGTCACTAATATACAGGGAAACATCCTGAGAAGTAATGACACTTGTTTTTGTGTCAGTGTTTGAGCTATTTGCCTGATTTCCAACAGCTCAACCACAGGATCATTAATGTAATCTGCTATAAAAATGATTAATGTGAGGAGAGGAAGACCTAATTGGCCATTGTGTAGAACAGAATAGTGTCCTTGGAGAATCTCCAGTTATGTTCTGATTTCATATTCTAATAAAGTGGGATACAAGTATCTTGTTGGGATACTGGGATTTTGGTGCTCTTTCCCTTGTCTGAACTCCTGCTTGTCTGATAGACTTTCTTCAAGGGTGCTGTGTGTTTGCTGAACTCTATTCTCTTTAGGTGTCTTTAGTTGATCGGAAAGTATGTGGAAATACAATTGCTGTAGGAGATTTGATTTCACTTGAGAATTCAGCTTTAGTTTATAAAGTTTTTTGACTTCTGGAAAAAAAACAGCTACAGTTCTTGTATTGGACAAAGTAAATTATTTGAGTAATATGCAAGAACAACTCCTTTCCTCTGTGAGAAGTGTTAATTTCTTGTGTGAAACTCCCAAGTTCAGGCATGAGCCTCAGAGGTGTATGGCTATATCCTTGTCAATGTGAAAACAAAGTCAGGAGATTGAACAAGAAGTCACTCAAATTGTCATTTAGCTGGAAATATGCATTTAAATTGATTTTCTGTCACAAATGGTAGAAGCCAAACCTTTATAGCTTTGAATTCTGTTCTACATTAAAGCTCAGTTCATGGTTCTTTGGCATGCTAAGCGTGTAGTTTTGAGCAAGAAGTTCCCTTGTGCCTCCTATTGCGGAGGTGGGATGTAGTGTTTTTATAATTGGCTGGGATTGGAAGATCCAGTCACAGAGATGAGACAAAGTATCAGGCTATCAAAGATGTCTTCTGTGTTGGATTAAGCAATAGCTGAGGCTTGAACTTTTGTGCAGAAGCTTTTGCCTTTGTGTATGGCTTATGGATATTATGTGATGGTGTCCTTTTCCCCCAATACCTGTTCAAGCTGATTATTTGAACTTCTGCTGGTAATCTCCTCAGCCTTTTCCTATTTGTAGTTGGCAGACTCTTTGAAGTCTCTGTTCTTAAACTAAGATATTTCTTTTGACTTTTTGTTTTTCATCTTCATAATAGTCTGCTAATCACTTGTTGGTTCGTTGAGTTTGTTTTTTTCTTTCTTCCCTCAGGCATTTTGGGGTAAGTTTTGCTGAAAAATCAGAAAACCAAGCAGTAAAACTGAGATAAGCATGAGCCACTCTCTCTTTGAAAGGAATATTCAGTTTTCAGGGTGTTCTATGTTCTTTATGCCTCTGGCATTAATACAAAGCAATGTTTTCTGTTATAATCTTTCTAAGTGAGCTCCTCTCCAGGGGTAATTAGTAAACAGTGGGTTTAAGTAGGACCATCTGGGGAAGATGGGTATTGCTTTGCATTTATTTTTAAATCATGAGCCACAGGCTTGCAGTCATGGACTGTGTCTGGGAGAACAGGAGGGATTAACAGGAGCATCTGGCATTGCTGGCAGGTGAAGGGGAAAGTTCAGGCAACTTTGGCAGAATTATCAAATCTGTCTGTGGAGAGCAGAAATATTTAAATAGGTCGAGAGATATAACCATTCCCTCTCTGAAGGAGGGAAGATGTGGTTTTAGTAGAGGTCATGAGAATCTTTTTTTTTTTCATATTTTAAGTGTGCAGTGGTTTTGGTGGACATGATTAACTCCATGCAAGTTCCCCTTGGTGGGTTTTATGAAAACTGGCCCTAAGAATTTTTTGCTGTAATTTTTAATATTGCTCAATGTTCATCACCTGGCATGTGTGGTTCAGTTTGTGCATTGAATCAAGAGATGTAGCTCTTGTTGGAAAGAGTTTCATGAGAAGCCATGAAGATGGGGGGATATCTGGGGGGAGAAGAAGATGGAAAGAATTTAGAGTAAGTCCTCCAAGTTGGGTCTTGACTGTCATAAGTCCTAACCAGTTTTTAAAGCAAACTTCTTGCAGCTTCTTAACATCTTTCTCCTGTTTTCTCATTTTTGCCTGGAATGTTTATATGAGATATTCTAGCTGTTTATAATTTAAAAAAACCCGTCCTTTTTAAAGCGATGTTTTCTGCATCTTTTTTACTGTGCCTTGAAATAAAAAATACATCTATATTTTACTGTATAAACACTATAGTTTGCAGTTTAGAAATTTTATGCAGGAGTATTGCTTAATTGTCAGGGTATTGTTTGTTTGATGTTAGTCCTAGTAGATACTAGTAGTATTTGTTTAATTATTTTTCTTGATTGAAATTTCGTGTAAAGCCAAGGGGGAGGAACCATCTAAATCTTACTAATATGTAAGTTCTGCTGTTAAGCAATAGTTTAGTAAATAATTTCTTCACTGCTAATATGTGCAATTTAGCTCCACTATCCAAATACTTTAAACATGATAAAACTATAATCTAAATAGAATACTGAATTAATTGCATTTCTGTTTTACTCTCCACTCTAAAATGAGTAGGTACCAGAATATTTGTCTGGCATGCTAATTTTTGTCAGATTGTGTGGCCTTGTTTAATTTGTGTCTTTCAGTGTTTTTTAAAGATTGGCAGTTCTTCGGTTTAAACAGCTGTGCAAATGCAACCATTAACTTTCAAAGCAGTCTGATCTTTTTCTGAAATGCAACATATCCATACATTGCCAGGAAGGATTATCCTTTTGTTGCACAGCAGATAATATTTGTGATTATTGATGTTTAGGAAAATACATATGCTGATGGATAGACCTCCTTGATTTCCCTACCTCCCCTGCTGTGATTTCCATGGTAGCAAAAGTGATGATCCTGCTTCAGTTTAACTGTCCAGTTTTTTATTGAAATGCTTTTAACCTGACATATTTAGTACCAATGTTGTTTTATACAACTCTGAGTTAATATTCTTAAACTGAAGTCTGCTTATTCTTCTTTCATTGATGTGTGGGTTTTGGTTTGTTGTTGTTTTGTTTTTGTTTTTTATTACAAGTGGCCATGGCATGCAAATAGATGAGCTTAAGGAAGATTACCATGTGTTGCTTTAACGTCTTGTAATTCAGTTTTCTGTGTTGACTGGTTCCTATTTAGCTTGAGTCCACTGCCTTGAACTATGTGAAGTAGACATTTCAAGGGAAAAAGAAAAAAAGGAATTTTCAAACTTATCCTTTTACTTCCTTCTAGAAATGGAGTCTAGAAAGGACTTCATTGCTGAAATGTGTCAGTTCAGAAGTGATATCTTCACTCCATTCAAAGGAGTTAACCTTACAAACACTCCAGACGCCCTTGGCAGGTGTCTGTTCTGTTCAGTTGGACAGGCCATAATGACCATCCCTGCACATCTCTAGTGCTCAATAAATCCAAAGTGGACAAAGAATCTTGAATTATGGGATTTTCAGTTAATTTTTTAATGACAAAGGAGTCTTCCTGAAGACTTAAAACTCTGGCATTTCATTTTACCCCTTTTGAATGTGTGTGCAGTATCAGGCATATAAGTATTTGTGTCTGCTCTCACTGAAATTTATTATCAGAAAGATGGAACTCAGAGTTACACCTTTGAATTGTAATTGGATGCATTTTAAGATGAGCACTTAGTATTATTTCTTATATTGCAGATGGCTGGAATCCATCTTCTCATCCCTATAAGAAGTTGGAATATGGGAAGTGGGAGTTGTTCATTCCACCTGAAGATGGCCGTTCTCCTGTGCCCCATGGGTCAAAGCTAAAGGTGTTGGTTCTAGACTTACTCTAACTCTTGTAACTCTTCTTACTCATTTACTGTCCATTTTGTTTTCTTCTAAGTAACTTTATCATCTTCTGATTGGTCTAAGAAGCAGAAGCACTTTATCTAGTTGAACAAAGTGACCTAAAGGAGTGAAACATTAAGCATCACAAAGAGATTTTGGGAACAGTCATATGTGGCTGAAATGTAGTTGTAGGGTATTGCACCATGTCATAAGAGGAAAACAGTTTGCAAATTGATAATCTAAAAAAGAAGAATTAAGTCATGTATAGGCAAAATCTTTCTGTATTTGATGCAACTACCTGTTGTTAAGATCCTGTTAAAATCTCAATACTTGGTAATTTTTCAGTACTTTCAATACTTTTAACTATGGCTTTTCAGGTGATTTTTGGTTGCTTTAATGGTACATGCAGGTTTGTAAAACTTACCTTTTTTAGGAATTCACAGTACTGAGTGGAAAGCTTAAGTAAGGGAAACTGACCACAGTTGTATTTCATAAGCATCCATGAGCTGTCACATGCCACAGTTGTATGCTTAGTGCAAATACATCTAATAATGACTAACTCACAGCATAGTTGATGATTTCTGGGTGAATATTGGTTTAAATCAGAGATGTGCTTTATTGCACTCAGAGCTTGAGTTTGAGATACTGGGTGCTATTAGAGGGCAGTAATAAGTACCAAAGGAAAGAAATGTATGTACTGAAATTACCTATAGACTATGAAAATTATGAACCTGGGAGCATTTGTATAATACTACTGCATTTTCAGAGGTCCCATCAACAGAACTAGAATGCTGAAAAAAAAATCCTCATTTTTTCTGCTGAAAATCTGCTTAGGCAAACAAGAAATGTGTTAAAACAAAGATATGTGTAAAAAATGCTCTGGAAATGCTTACTCAGTGTGTGTGCTTATCTCTATGCTTTTTGTTATGCCTTATGAAATAATCCCGGTAATAAATAAGGATAAATTGAAGTTCAGGAATAATCATTCAAGGATGAGAAAGCTGTTTTTTATTTTACAGAGCAGGAAAGAAAATACTTGTCTGCAACTCAGAAATGCAGTGATTATGCAGAAAAGTATGAGAATGCAGAATGGTTATTTAATATTTTCCATGGTTTTGAGATGCAAGTAGGTTAGATTTTTTGATTGTTGCTGAATTTACCTTCTCTGTTTTATCTACAAAACTCTTGAGTCAATTACTGTAGAAAATTCTATGCTTTTTGTAAAGATTAGAGGTGTGAATGATGATGATGAGTGTTGATAATTATTAACACAATAGTTAAAAAACCCATAGAATCTTAAATGCTTTTGGAACAATGTAAGATGTCTTGGATAATCACTGGTCATACCTCCTTATTTTGAAGTAAGTTCTTGATAGTATTTTCTTCCTGTTCAGCATTTCCTTGGAAATATAAACTCCATAAAACAAGGATTGCATTATACATAATTTGTATAGTATGTGGAATTGCCATGGATTGCATATGATTTACTTTCAAGATGAATTGCTGTACTTCTGTAATTGCTCTGAATTTTCTGAAAAGCCAAAATATACCCACTGGCAGAGTAGAATGTGAGTTTTTGTTTTTCGGCTTTTTCTACCCTGTCACTTTAATTGTGCTTTCCATGGTCAATTTTGGACAAAGTTACGTGGCTGTCACGGACACTCATGACACGTTGTCCAACAGGCTTTTGAAGCAAGACTGCCTGTGAAACATTTTCTTTTGAGTATATTCCTTCAAAAAGGACCAAATATTTAGAAACTTGATTCATGAGTGTATGTAGTCATAATTGATGGCTCCATTCATATGGAGCTACTCCCTGCCTCATCTGTAGCTTTGCTGATAATCTTTCACGACACTTTGTTCCATGGTGCCTTCAGGACTGAATCCAACACTTCTCTGTGTGTACTTGTAATGTAGTCAGATAATGAGACTAAGAGGAAAAAAACCTAAAAAGTCTCCAGTTAAGGTAGTTCAAAGATGGTTTATCACATAAGCTTTTGGAATATTCCCATGGTAGACGTGTACCTTATCCTCACACTACAGCTGATCTTACCCTCTCCCATTCTGCTAATGGGTGCAGAAAGCTTCTGCTTTTTCTGTAAGTTGTCCTTGAGCTATGTGGTTCAAACATTTATGGTTGTTTATAAATGTCTGTATTTTGTGTGTTAGAGCACAGTTTTGCTGTTCTTTGTTCATGTAGAAGCTGAGAAAATTGGTTGTTTGCAGATAGAAATTACTATGCAGATTGCAGAGATAATGTTGAAATACACAGGCGCTGGTGTCTGCACTAGACTAGGCAACAGGCATCTTTCTAGTAGTGGAAGCATTTCCCACTTTTCTTTACTAAAGAAGCCTAAGGGAATCACAGCTTTAGAAGTTTCTTTCACCAGTATGATTCTTAAATACTTAAGTTAAAATAGTTAACTTCAGACATTATTGTGGTGATTAATCTGTTAGGGGAAGAAATGTCTCCTCCAGAAGGTCCTTTTCTTTAACTTCTGTCTACTCTGTTTTGATCTTCAGTTCCACGCAGGCGAATGCCAAGTTCTGAAATGGTAACAAGGTCATTTCTTTTAAATAAGTAATATCTAAGCCAGAATGGGAAATGGATGGAGTGTAGTCGGTGACACTAATTTAGATCAGGTCACAAAATATTTTTGTGGGAAAATAAATGAGGAGCAGAGGTCAAACGTTTGCCTGTTTTCAAATAGAAGCAGGCTGTCTACTGTAGCTCTTCAGGCACTCTTCTCATAAGTAAATATAAACATTGCAGAAAATGAGTAATTAAAAAACCTGCTGTAAATCTTCTGACACTTTTCTTTGTGAAGAGATGGCTGCTTATGATAGTTGAGTGACTCCCTTGTGAATTTTGACATCCGTCTTCAAAATAAGGTTACCTTGCTAGAAAAGGGTATCTTTTTTCTTTCTCTGGTGGATCAATTGGGAGCTTAGACTGAGTTAAGTGAACAAATATTGTTGCTATTATGGTAGGGTAGTGCTGGCTTTTAAGCTTCTGACAGATGTCACAAGTGAGCAAAGATTTAAACCCAAAGCCAAGTGTTATCCTTTAATAAAAGAAGGCTTTTACCTCTCATTATTTCTAAAGAGGTAGTTTGAAAGATGTTTTCCTTAAACATCAGCATGTTTGTCATTCTACAGTGGTAGCAGTTGGGGTGCAAGTACTTACCTTTTGTGGTGGAAAATGACTGGGTTTTTTTTTTTCCTTCAGATTGGGTATTTTTAATTAACTTCTTAGATAACATAGCAAGCTTTTTACAAAAATTATCATGGGTAAACCTTTATAGCAAGTCTCCTTGGGTGTAGTTGTATTAATGCAGGAGTGTAATCAGTGCTACACTTTGTCTTTTTACTGTTTATTTATAAATGATTTTTCCAACTGCATTATATATATCTGTAAATTAAGTTTTCACTGTAGTTGGCAAGATCCTAATTTTAAAATAGTGTCAGTGAAGTTCAGGGATAGTATTGGTAAAAACTGAGCTTTTAGTATCTGCACTTGGGAGCTTGCTTAATATTATTTACAGGAATGCCAAAGAACAACATAGAAAATGGAAAACAATTAGCAAATGTATTCCTTTAAGAATTTAAATCTAGTTGAAAATAATTTCCAAATTCATGATCAAGTTCTGAAATATTTTCACATAGCTAAATAAAAAAAAAATTGCAAGATCAGTACTTGAAAAATATTGGTAATTGTGATAGAGCTACCCTGGTGCCCTGTAACATTAACTAGAAAAGGAATCTGTATAGTAGAACCACTAAATTTTATTTTATGAGCTAGAGAGGATATATTAAAGTAGACGTGATTGTTCAGCTTTCTAATCATGACAATAGGTATGTAATTTCTGAAATTGCTACCAGAAAAATAATTTTTTAGACTAATAAACTCATTTGACACTTTAGCTAACAATGTGCTGGGTAGGTGCATCAATCTATATATGCAACTAAATAGCACTTGAATATTCATGCAATGCAGTTCCTGTATTTTTCCTGGAAAGAACACCTCAAAGTGGTAGAAACTTTCTAAAAGCTCTGCATTCCATTATTTGTTAAATCTGTATCCTTTTCAATTTCACATCTCTGTGTTTGTGTCTGTATATATATATTCTATGTATTTAAATGGTGATGTTTATAGTTTTTTGAGGGAGTATCTTGTACTGTGATTAAATTTGATAACTTGTACACTTGTTAACACAGTATTTTTCTACTGATACTCTTGCATGTTTGAGTGGTTTCAGTGGTTGCTGAACAGGAGTTGTAGGTGCCAAGGCCAGTACAAGATCCAGGCAGGCATGAACAACACAGTTCTTTCATCAGTTTGTACAAAATGCTTATAACTTCACTATGATTGGTTTTAATAGTTTTCCAGTCCAATGTATTACGCATTTTAATACTCAGGTGTACAAAGGAAAGAACTACAATGACTTAGAGCATTAACAGTTTATTAATAATGATTGAAAGTACCTAAAGTACACTTGTATTCCTGAGGTGCTGGGTAGAGGAAAGCTAGTTGTGAAGAATAGTTTCAAAACTTAATCCTTACAGTTTTACCACTTTATCCTATACTTCCTAGCAGATCTGCATGCTCTGTGTTAAACTTGTACACCTTGAAAAGGAATCAAATATGGTGACCAGGTAGGTTAATCTGTGTCAGGGAACCACTGCTAGTAAAATTCATCAAGTGTAATTACTGTCACCAATGAAATAGATGGTGCTGCAGCTGACCCTGCTGATCAGGAGGTGCAGCAGCATAATACCAGACTGGTGTGGAGTTCAGGTCTCATGCACTTCAAGCAGTCTGCAGTCAAAAACGTGTTTATAATGAGAATGTGAAATTTCAGGAAATCTGTTAATAATGGCAGGCTGGTGGCTATGATTCAAGGGACAGAAATGTTAAAGTTGTGGTGGACTTTCAGGGTTGTAAGATGTAAATAGAAACATAGAACACCTGGTTGGGAGG